TCTATGCTTTTGCTTTTTTCTTTACTCCCTGTATGGAAAAAAACAAAACAAGAAACAAATTTGACTACTGTATAGGACATCTTTATGGAAAACACTCTCACCATGCCATCTTGGACACATTCCATTATGTTCCAGGTAGACAGTAATTGTGCTAAATTCATTACTAGCATGGACACCATTGCAGCTTACCTCAAGGAAGTGAAAACCCTTTGCTCCGTACAGCCTGTTAGCAATGCTTAGAGAAAAATTGGTGCTGGGCTTGTTGATTGCTGATAAGAGTGCCTGGAACTGAGAATGAACTTCTCCAGTTTCTTCACACTTCAAATAACAAAATAATAATTTCTTTAGCAGGGTTCCCCTTTCAACCATGAAGCTGTATCTGATGTAGAATTGTTACCTCCCCACCAAAATATACTCATGACACCTCCAGATCAAACATCATAGACTAGGCCCCTTATTTTAGCCCTCAACATGAGGGCCTTTAATTATCATACAAAGACATATTTTTCTTTGTTAAACTATTTTGCCTGGATTCTTCTCTTTCTGTGGTTCTCCCTCTTAGCAATCATAGGCATAGAAGAAGGGACATGAAACATTTCTACCTCCACTTTCCAAAAAAATGAGAAAAAAGGACTTTCCTCATTCACAGTGTCTTTCATTTTCAGGTTGCCATGGTCCAGCTCAACACTTGCAAGCATTGAAAGAGAGGGTTATTTATTAAAAAAAGATGCCACTCATATAATAAAAATGGGCCTTATGTAGTGTAAATATATGGAATGAGAGTTTGGGAAGACAGGATGCTCAGATCTATGCCGTTCTCTGGGGAAGTGCTGATACCAAGGGAAAAGGACAAACCTGATGTACCTGCTGCCTTACCTCAGAGCTACCATGGTTTGTCCTTCCTCCAGAAGAACTCGAAACTGCATCAAAATGAAGCACCTGAAACAAAAATGCTGGGTGATTGCAGCTATAACTGTCATCAGAACATAATTTTGAGGCTGGATTGGCATGTCCCCTGGCACACTGTAAAACCCTTTAGACATGCCAGGTAGGGAAGCTCATGTACTTCATTTCATTGGCGATGCATTTGAATGGACAGCAGAGTTTCCTAAAGAGCTCTTGTTTGGGGCCAAGGCCTGACACACCTTGGTTAGCCAGTAGGGAAGGGAAGGATGCCCTGGAGGGAACCCATCAATAACAACTCAGCCAGTTCTGCCATGCAGCAAGCTTCCAGTCATGGAGGCAACCCATGCAGAGCCTAGCACCACTGCTAAAGATAGCGAGTAGTAGCCTGAAAGGCATAAGTTCCTTCCCGAGGGCCCCCTTGATTTGCTGGATTATCGTTTCCTACATGCGGGGAACATGGGGTCAAAAGCTTCAAATGTAGGCTTATAAATCTGACCATTATTATTCAAAACCTGTGCGTTGTTAACAACATTTTTGGAGTCCCCTGTATTCTGACACTGCACTGACAGGCAGTGTTGACAGTAGCAGAGTGAGGAAAGCCTACCTTTTCCATCTGTTTGGCCGTGTTGCCTCTAGCACCCAGGAGGACCATGGCCATGGCTGAAGAGATGCTCAGAGGGGAGAAGAAGATGTTTTCATTTTCTTCTGTTTTCTTCACTTCTTTGAAAAAGTCAAGGCAGAATTCAGCATTTGCTTCGCTGAGTGAGGCCATGGTGAAGACGGTAAAGCCTGGGACAAGAGAATTAAAGTCTGAGACTCATGACTGTCTCCTAGTTCGTGCCTTTTCCTTTTCAGACAGAAGGAGCCTTTTCCCACCTCTCACTGATGAAATGCTAACTGGCAGCTTTCTGTGACCTGAGGAAGAGCACATGGTGCCTGAAAGTGTGTCGCACAACTCATCCAACTAACACGGTTGGTCCAATAGAAGATATCATGAAAAACGCTCATCTCTCATAAACCTCTTCATTTTTTCATAAACTGCAAATTATATCCTCCCCATGGCCAACCACCTGAATGCAGATGTGAATGAGTTCTCAGTAACAGTTTTCTGCAGTTCACTGTGTGTTCAGATTAAGCAATCGCAGTAGCTTTCTTAGTTGCTTTTATTGCTTGGATTTTCTAGCCCCAAAGCCTGTGGGATCCTTATGGTATACTAATTATAATCTGAATAAAGTGATCCAAAGGTTTACATATGTCAAGAGTCTGAATCTGTAGTATATTGACGCTATCCATTTTACATTCAGTGCAGAGGGCCATTACCTTCCCTTTATGTCTTAATGACATACCAAATTCTCTGCAGGTAATGACACCAGTGGAATTAATATCAGTGAAGAATGTCATCTTCCTTTCCTTAATGAACAGAATCTCTTTAGGAATGCATGTATCTTAGTCTTATCCTTGCAGGTACTGTGCACATAACATTCTTAATGAAGAAGATGGGGCAGAGTGGCGTGTTGTAGACTAACTCAACTCCATAAGGAATTTTTTTGCCTAACACACATGTGTTAGGCAAAAAAAGCCCTCTAAAAATGGGGACAAATCCTGACTTGGTGAAAACACACCATCTTGCTGCACTTCACACTGAGAATAACAAGCAAATTTTCTATGTTTATTATCCTTAGGAAAACGGCTATTAAATAGGGTATTTTTTTGCCAGGGAAATAGACTGCTACATGTTTTGTCTGGAGAGAGAGATTAATTCCCTCTTTTCTTTTGCTCATTAACTGCTGTTTGGAAACTCACTGAGAAAGGTCTGTCTCCTTTCTGTAATGTAGTGCGTGCTTTGTACCACTAAATGCAGGCATCACTTAACACTTTTCATAGGAAGAATCCAAGCCATCCTTTTCCTCACGTCCACTGCCCCATTCTCAGTTTATCTGCAACCAGTGATATTTTAACTAATTTGAAGCTAAAGTGTTTATGTAGAGGAACTTTAGGCACCAACTTTAGGCACAGATTAGACTAAAGCAAGAGTCACTGCTTAAGTAGTACCTATTCCAGGGTACCTTTAATAGGCATTGTCACAAAGGTACCACGTGTCCCTTCATACCTCCTTACTATTGAAGGGATAGTTACTTACTGCTGGTCCTTATCAGCATTAAACTTCTACCAATCATATTGACTCAGCAATTCTGTCCATCAGTTATACATCGGTGGAGCCAATGCTTTTCCCATTCCCTGGTGTGTTTGCAATTCCCATCCTTCCAGGAGAACACACAGAAGGCAAGTAGCTTCACTTATACCTGTGCACATGGATCAAGATCCTGGTGTCCCCTTGAGAGGCAGGAAGGGAAGTCCTCATTCAATTAATCTTCTGCATGATATCAAAGAGCTTTTTGATATTGAATACAGGAGCACTTCCAGTGCAGACACTTAGATAAAAACTTATTCCTGCCAGTATGCTCACAATTCTGCTTTCCACAAAGATACTTGTAATGAAAATTTGCCCAGCCAAATGCCTTGAAATGCATGGAGCTGGGAACACTGGCAGAAAAGCTGCTGGTTTTAGTCACAAGAATATTCAGGAACGTTTTCTGCTGTATACCTGCACTGTACTTGCAAACGGTTTTGGATTTTCTTCTATCTGACCCTTAAAATACTGTCTCCAGAACTGGCAGAATGAGCAAACGACGGCATGAAAAATACTGCCTTGCATCCACCAAAAGTTTCAGGCAAATATGTTCCTATCCAGCAGTATCTATGCTGTTGAATTCCCCACAAGAAACAACTCCTTAGGTCAACACAATACAATGCAAAGGCACCAGGTAGTTCACCGCTAAAGTCACTGCAATGATACGAATAGTAAGAATGACATTAAAGATAAAGTACTAGAAATATTTACCTTCTCTGTTTGGACGTGGTGCTAAAGACTGGTTGGGAAGTTTGGTGTGGTGTCCGGTGGAGTGCTGAAATTTAAAGCCATGGCCACTCCCAATTGTGCAATTTTCATCCACAATGATTCATCATTTTCTCTACTACAAGTAATTAATATAATAATTGTGAATTCAGGGCAGTGACATGTAAATAAAATCTCAGCCAAATTTTCATGTCTTCTAGCAAAGGAAGGGAGCTACAATCAAATATTCATTTCCACCTGAAAGAAGCAAATCTCTGCTACTGTTTTTACATCCAGGATCAAGTTACTAGAAGTGAAGGAGGCTACAGATTATTTCCTTGGGAATAAATCCTGAGTAATCTGATTGCAAACATAAATAAATAGTGGCATAATTTATACTTAAGCTAGTTCTCAATTGCATCAGAACATGCCATTGTAAGAAGACAAGGGCAAGAGAGAGGCATGCAAAACAAGAAAATGGTATTGGGAAAGCATAACATTTAGTAAGGGATTTGTGGTCCAAATGTGGCAACTACCTTTCAAGGCACTTAGCCGTGTGTCACCAAGAACTTCTGTAAGCATGTTTCTGCTGAAGATGTAGAAATCCTATGGCTCAGAGGCCCCTCTGTGGTGCAAAGAGCCATAGTATAGATCTGCCACAACATCATACACCTGTTTGTTTTTATAAGCCTAAAACACTTTTCTCCCGTGATTATAACAAACCTTGGTTGAACTGAGCTCATGGAGGTTTTTTTCAAAAGACATTGTTGTACTGACTTAGGCTGCCTCTGTACTGCATTGAAAAATTATTTTCAGTTACTCTGGACAGATGTGGGAAAGAGAGAACAGGAAAGAAAGTGAGCCCAAGGGCTGTACAAAACAGCTATGTTTCATTTCCATTTTGGATTTGGCTGTTTTGGAGGGACAGTGATTTGTTTTGGTGTTTCGGATCACTCTTCCATTTCAATTTGGCTGCATCTGTTTCGGAGTTCCGACGCTGATTTGGAGACTGGGATTGGCTGGGGAGAGGCAGGCACAGCTAGGCATCTGCAGGTTCTTCCACAGCTCCTCGGGCTGTGCCTGACTCTCCCTAGGCTGGGGGAGCTGCAGGAGAAGCCCCCATGGCTGTCTTGCCCAGCCCCATCCCCCACCTGGTCCCAGCCTCTTAAAAAAAACAAAAAACCCCCACACTCACCAGTTGCAGCAGTGGCGATCAGGGCCTTTGGGGGCTCATGGCAGAGCCCCACCCCCATGCAGTGCAGGACAGTGTGGGGGCAGCAGAGATTGCCCCTTCCACGTGGCACCCGCATGGCAGCTGCCCCATGGTGTGGGTGCAGCGCAGCTCGGCAGGGTGCTGTACGCTGCCTGGGAGCTGGGGCCGAGTGGTGCTGGGCTCCGGCTGACAGGTGGAGCTGCCCCAGCTGCCAGAAAGCACATGACAGCTGCTGCACAGGTGCCAAGTGGGGGGGAGAGCGATTCCTCCTGCCACCCACTGCATGGGGGAAGGCTCTGCCATGAGCCCCTCAAGACCCTGATCACTGCTGCTGCAGCCAGTGAGTGTGGTGCTTTTTCTTTTTTTCTTTAATTGTATTATTATAAGTGTCTGGAGGCTAGAGCCCAGGCAGGGGGATGGAGCCAGGTAGGGCAGCCATGGAGGCTTCTCCCATGGCTCCCCCCACCCAGGGAGAGGCAGGCGCAACCAGAGGAGCCATGGGAAAACCTGCAGCTGCCTGGCTGTGCCTGCCTCTCTGCAGCCGATCCGAATCTCTGAATCAAAGCTGAAATAGTGTCAAAACTCTGAAACGGATTCAGCCAAATCAAAATGGAAGAGTGATCCAAAACATCACAATCACTGTCCCTCCAAAATGGCCGAATCTGAAATGGAAACTAAACATAGCCATTTTGCACAGCCCTGTTTCACGGGTAGAGATACTGGGCCTGACCTAGAGGACAAAAATCAAGGGTACAACACAGTTGCAGGAAAGCACAACTGTCAGGTTGGATCCCCTGAACTACTAAGGTGTTGTACAGTCTAATCAATAAAGCTTTCCCTCCCTTCTTTAGATAGTAGTAGACAATGATGAGACTTGTAGACTCTAAAATTAATCAGTATGTTTTGTGACTGGGAGATGCTGGACTGGTTTTGTTCCACTTCTTGAATTATTGCATCTTTCAGGTATCCATATAAATAACCATCTTCTCCTCGCATATGTTTACAGCTCCTGCCCATACTGTGTCCTGATGCAAATTGGTTTAAGCTCTATTGACTTTCTTGGACCTATGCTGATTTATAATAACTGAGAATCTAGCTTTAGGCCTCTGCTAAAGAGTCAGTGCCCATTAACTTTAGCTCACATAAGTTTCACTCAGAGTCATCCTTGCGAGTTTGATTTGCCTACCCCTTTTAAATCTGAATGTTCTGAGTTTTGCACGCTGTGAAATCAGAAATGGACTTAAAACTGATGTGCACATGTCATTGCAAAGCAACATGTTTAGGGAAATTGATTTCAGTAGTTGAGCAAGAAAATTTATGTCTGTTTGTTGTGCCAGTGCATGTAAGCTTCTTAGCTCTTGAACTTAGAGAGGAGGAAGAGGTGCAGAACGTTCTAGTTTGTTCTTTACCTTGGATAAACTGATCTTATGGAGAATTGGCTTGTGCATGCTCCACGTGAGGATTCTCATAGGAATTACACTTGTTGCATTACATGAGACTCGAATGACAAAATGTGAATGACCACATGGTGCGCTGTGGTGCTTTATAAAATGGTGAATCTCTAACGAAAGAGATGGACTGAAATGGACACCCAAGGGAGGTGGTGCTCTCTCTTACCATGGGGGTCTTCAAGAGGAGGCTGGACAGATATTTGGCTGTGGTGTTATGACCCCGGCACTCATTCCGGCCTGGGGTAGGGGGTCAGACCTGATGGTCTCTTTAGGTCCCTTCCGACCCTAAGCACTACAATACTATGATAAGATCACTACAAAGAAGTTGTTCAAATAAGTTGTTGTTTGAAATGACAAGTTCATTGTAGCTCAGAACTGTTCTGTGACATATTTAACATTTGCACCTGTCTATCCAAACCCTAATATCCCACAGTGCTTTGCTCTCCCTCTCCTACCACCAAGGGGGAGAAGGACCAACTGACTTTCTGACAGCCTGTCCATCAGGGTGCTGTCAGGGAGCCCTGTAGGGACTAGCTTGCAGCTGGCTGCAGCAGTGGCAAGCCTGATTGGACAGCAGAAACCACCTGGTCAGCCCTTGCCAACTCTGGGCAGCTTGCAAGTAGCCCTGTTCCTGTTGCTGCAGTGGCAACAGGGAACGACAGGGTAGCGGGGTGATGGGGCTCTCTGTGAGCCAAGACAGTAATGCATTGTGGGTGCTTGAACACCAGCAATACTTTCCAGTTCCCCCATCACAGGCAACCTCAGATCAGAAACCACCAGATTAGCCCTTGCCCTTGTGGGCAGCAACAGCTGATGAGGAAGTAAGTCTGTGCTGCTCACCGACAGGATCCTCTGTGGGCAGGGTCGGGGGAGAGTTACAGAGCAGCCCCCTATCATCCTCTGGCTAGGGAGCATGCTTTTGTGGCACTTCAGTCATGCCTGAGCCAGAGACTCTGTGCACATTGCACACCACAGAGTGATCTGCTTCTTGTAGTGCTACAAACTGTAAAAAGAACATATGTCAGAAGCCTAAGCCTGCACCTTTATAAGTTACTACTTTTGGACTCATCCCATCGACATGCTCATTGTTCAAAGGTGGATAATAGGACAACCTGTTAAAAACAAGCAACAGGGAGAAAAGAACAGTAGAGATCCCAGTGCTGTACACAAAAAATACTAACATTTATTGTGATCTCCCATTTGTTCACTTAGAACAACAAAAGGAAGGTATTTCAGGCCCCTTGCAGTTGGGGTGGCTAAGTGCTCTTTTGACTCAGGGCTTTAATAGAGTTGTTTCATCACCATTTATTAGTTTTTAATAGCATTGTATTCTTCCTGGTTCTGTTGTGTCACTGCATACACCCATGCCTTGATTTCCTGTTTGGCTAATACCTTCCCTGTTACCTCACTTTTGTTACAGCAACCAATATATGGCCCAAAGATTTTATTGCATGTTTTGGCTTGTCAACAAATAGCTTAATAGATACATTCCAGTTGTCCAAGTTAGGTGTCAGAAGTGAAATACCTCCATGTATTTTGCTAAAGACTCACTACTTTCAATATCTAGAGCTCCACTGAGGGGTAGTCAATTTTTCCAGATGTCTTCTTTCAAAGACAACTGGCTCATTAGTATTTTAAAATGGCATGAGAATCTTTAGAGATCCAGCAGTGGAAATGAAGTCACACCATGACATTTAGAAAGTATCAGGCTTCCTGTTCATAACTTTTGGCAAACAAGTGGCTATCAAATTATAGCTGATTAATTCTTTAAAATCTATAAATGCAACTATTTCCCCCTTTCCTGAAGGCAGCTGACTAATTAGAACTTAAAAATAGCATGAAAATTTAGGGTGTCAAGATTCCAGGTCACTGTTGATTCATAGGTGATGGCGAACAACTGGATTCAAAATCAATGTATATTTTGTTCCAAGTATTTTATGATACACATACTACAATGGTGCAAGAGTTTTAAATGCAATTGTCAGGTTCAAAGTACAAGATCTTCCCAACAAGCCGAACTCAGACCCTTTCCTGTAGGATCTTTTGTCCTTTAAGTTTAAGAGGACTTACTGGGCATGTAAGCACTACCAGTGAGAGTGAGCTGGGCAGGAGGGCAATAGCTGGAATGACAGAAACCAAAGCCTGATACTTTGCGCCGTTACAATGTATTCATAACAATTTATATTGCTTGAAATCAGTACCTATATCCATAGATAGAAAGAGTTGTTTGGTCTGGTTTGTTTTTTTTTTTTATATAATGAGTACTTATTCCTAATTAGAAGCCTCTGCTCTGAAAATAATTGAGATTTTTACGTCTTAGTATGATCAGCTCTGCTAGCCCTCTGGGGCTCAAGAAGGAAGAGGTTTGACGCAGAGGCAAGAGCCACCTGGACTTCAGTAGCCTTCCAGGAAGCCAACCTGGAGCAGACAAATGGAGGAAGTTTGCTGTGAGGCATTGAGATTGGCTAGCTAAAG